AATTCATTTGGAACTAACATTTAGTTAAGAATATCTTATAGAGCCATCCAAATTCATTTACATACATAACCTATTGAATTTCGAAATGGTTTTATCAAATTTTATACGTAGTAATATTTATGCTCGAGAACTTAATGATTTGAAGGTATTTTGACCCGCGAGTACAATATATAATTAAATACTTCCCCAATGATTGGAACCCCGAATCCATTAAACCCCTTGAATGAGGTCATCCTTCCCGTGATGGGAGTCCCTCAATGATGGAGTGTCATCTCTCCTCTATATGTACACGGATTAAACCTTTATGATACAAAGTACCTCGAGAATAATGTTTAAAATTAATAAATACTTCGAGAATTACCATATAATTTTGCAATACAACTTAAACTTGCAAATCTAATTTATACTCCGTACAATATACAAATGAGACACAAATGGTCGTACCAAATGATCTAAAATCTGCAGATTTTATTTTAACTTGAACTTGAATAAGTGAACATGTGATATACAGCTGTACAAGTAAAAAAAAGTACTAATGAAGCAAAAGGAAAATGTGTACAAATAATTAACTATAATGAAATACTTGACTATAATACTATTATAAATAATTAAATATATGCTCCATCAGCCCCAAAATGTTTTGTGTTTGTCTTTAAATTTTATTTTATGGATTACATTTATAAGGGTATTACTTATTCATAGAGAAAGAATCAATCACTATATAAATTGTACAATTCTCCAATAAATGAAAATAAAATAACTTATGAGATGACTTGGAAGATATTTTGGCACTGCTGTTGCGCAAATTATATTGTGGGATCAGTATACCATGCACATGGTATACCGATCCCAATACGACACCGTTTTTCTAATTAAAAACAATCCAGAATCCTCCTCTCCGATCCTTTGGCTAGCCGCTAGTATTCTCCCTTCTCCGTCAGTGCTACTGCGTGCTTCGTCGTTTTTTTCTCCATCACAATTCTCATGCAAATACTACCTCCTCCCCAATTGTCATGTAGTCCGTATGGCTATGCGACAACATGATGCATGTCCACAACCGGATTTGTCTTTGCATTTGGAACAAAATTTTATCCATCAAAAATAACATAAATACATTTATTGGACAAATAAAATAAATTACTCATATAGAAAAATGATTTTTCTTTAAAACATATTTATGACCTTGGTATTAAAAACAAAACATATTCACTATTTAAGTAAATTAGTTGAACAAATAAACTCCTTATTTTCATTGTTTACATTTGATATTATATGAAGTAACATCTTCTTATGCACGAGTTAAATCTGTTTATGCGTGAGTTACATCTCAATGTACGTGAGTTACACCACGAAATGAACTTAGAAACCCTTGCTAATGACCAAAAATGATTTGTTAACTACATAATTTTGTATAGCCCTATATTAAAAAAACATATTCACTATTTACAAAAATTAATTGGGCCATTAAGATCAATTTTTCATTGTTTACATTGAAATCAATGTTTATAACACACACACATATATGTATGTATATGTATATATATATATATATATATATGTGTGTGTGTGTGTGTGTGTGTGTATTCCGGACTAGTTTTATGATTTGGAAGGTCGTCAAAAGATTTTTGCATGAAAACTGCGTTTTATATGTATATTCCGGACTAGTTTTCATGCAAAAATCATTTGACAACCTTCCCGATTGATTTTTTCTCAAATTTGGTATGGATGAACTAGACTTGATTAGGAACATACACAAAAAAATTTTAGCCAAAAAATACCCCCCGGAACCGCCTCAAATTGAGGTGGCCGGACAGGAAGAGCTCTCTCTCTCTCTCTCTCTCACACACACACACACACACACACACACACACACACACACACATATATATATATATATATATATATATATATATATATATATAGAGAGAGAGAGAGAGAGAGAGAAGATCAGGTGAGAAGTCTCTCTTAAAATGAGAAGTGAGAAACAAACTCAGCCCTTGGATTTGCATCTAATCTTACAACGCAGTAAACTTATAGACTGAATATAGGAACTTATAACCAATAAATCATAACTTATAAAGCTCTCCATCATAATTACAAAAATGCCAGCGCGTCCAAAAATTTTCAAGGTTTCCAGGCTTATTTTTTGGCGGTGGCATTTTCGTAATTATTTTCGACGGGGTTTATAAGTTAGGATTTATTGGTTAAAAGTTCGTGTTTTTAGTCTATTAGTTAAACTTTGCAGTTCTCAGCCTAAGAGCACTTCTCACCTGATCCGCTCCCTATATATATATATATATATATATATATATATATATATATATATATATATATATATATATATATATATATATATATATATATATATATATATATATATATATATGTATGTATATATGTATATAGGGGAGGGTTCCTGTGAGATAAGGCTTCCAGGAGAGAAAAAAGAGCGACATCTCCCCGTCAAATACATGAAATCAAAGGTTAAGATTTGGTATAAACTAGTGGTGGCAGCATCGTAATTAATTGGAACATTGAATGGTAATTATAACAATTGTAGCAACGGTTCTACTATTAAGGACAAAAGAGTAAAACACATTACCTATGATTTTGGATAATAAGGAAACGGTACTCAATCTTTCCATATAAATAGGATCACTAATTAAATACACTACAATCTAAAACTTCGGACTATTAATTGCATTTTATAGTTTTTTTTTCAAATTCTTGTTTCAAATAAAAGATACAATCAAAATATTCACTTAAAATCGTTAGTTTCATTGATGCACTTTTACTTGAACGTATCTTCACTTTGGTATCCTGAACTTTGCACCAATTCTATATAAAAGATCATGATGACAATATGTGATAAAATTAGTGGGGCGAACCTGTCAATATGATCCAAAAAAAATCATGATAACAATGCTAACATGCACTTGTAATGATGCACATGTTATATAAAGCTTGTGCTATTCAATATATGCGTCGTCAACTTTTTTATGACCTGTGATTTGAGCACTTATTTTACAAATTTTGTAATCGTTTGTGCACTTTTTAAAATCTATTTATACCTGTGATTTGAGCACTTAATTTACAAATTTTGCATTCGTTTTGTGCACTTTTTGATATCTATTTATATTGATTTAATTATTATAATTACTTATTAGTTTATCACTCTATGATACATTATATTTGATTGTTGTGCACTTCTAACAATGAGATGTGCATATTAAAGTTCATTTACATGATACTTTGACTATGAGAAATTTGAGCACTTTTTAGCGCAATAATTCGCACTTTTGAAATATATGTAAAAAAAATCGTACATACGCTTTTATTTATATTAATTTTCACTTATATTTTTATTTATTTTTAAACCCGGAAGACAAATCACAAAAATCGGTGAGGTAAATGTCGGGGAACATTTTCACTTTTACAGTATATGATAATTTGAATTAATCTGTTCACTTACGTGTGAGTCATTGTGCATGATGGAGTATATGGCCCAGGGACCCCCGACCCACATACTTCCTCTACGGCTCTACTACAATCAAGCCCAACAGGCCCAAATGGGCCAAGCCCAGCAAAATGGAGCTCTGAGCAGCCCACAATATGCAAAGGGGTGCCTTCGGCCCTATGGCCGAAGGCTACCAGTGACGGAATCGAGCTCAGAAACATCACAGGAGAACAAGGCTTGAAAACCAAGCCTTCGGCAACTGCAGCCCTCGGCAGGTAGGAGCCCTCGGTTAGAAGAGGCATCACAGGAGAACAAGGCTTGAAAACCAAGCCTTCGGCACCTGTAGCCCTCGGCAGGTAGGAGCCCTCGGTTAGAAGAGGCATCACAGGAGAACAAGGCTTGAAAACCAAGCCTTCGGCACCTGTAGCCCTCGGCAGGTAGGAGCCCTCGGTTAGAAGAGCCTTCGGCCCAGCACCCTTCAGCCTAAGGCATCCACCTCGACAGAATATCCTCTTCACATGCGCCTGGATCACCGTACCAAGTACAAACGTCACATCCAACCACCGCATTTAATGCGGCCACATGCCAGTGCCAGTGCCACCCTGGTCGAGGTGACCCCTCGACCACCAGAAAACTGACACGTGTCCTTATCTAGCATTTATTACTACTATAAATAGCACCCCTTTCCCCCATTGTAAACCACGCTCAATACATATCGAATATACACTCTCTCTTTCTTACTTATTTGCTCTGACTTCTCTCTAAGTTATTCTCAGCAATAACCCCTCGGATATATACCCCCCGGGTAGACTATCCATCATTTGGTGCTCTCGTTGAGAGGTCGAACGATCAAGTAAGAAACCCTCCCCCTTCGCCAAACACTAGCCCTCTACCAAAATGGTGAGAACAACACGTGCCAACTCCAAAAACGTAGAAGACAAGAACCTGGCCCTCGGCGACGTCAACGCCCCCGAAGCCTCTCACAAGGCTCCCGAGGGCGGTGTCATCGCTGGGCTGGAACAGGCGGCTGTCGACCTACGCCTTCAGATCCAGCAGAATGCCCCCGATGCCCGCCTCGGCATCGAGGCCAAGAAGAAAAACCGGAGCGATGACCAAGTCAGCCCTCCGGTCCTCACCATCGACGTTCATTCGGCACTCTCCGCCTTCATCCAGACGCTAACTCAGAACCCGGGTGCCTTCGGCACCCTGGCTCCGGCTCAACCCCAGGTTGGGGAGAACATCGTACTTCCCCCTCTGCCACACCCTTTCGGAAACCCCATCCCTCGGGTTAGGAATGACGAAGGGGTAGTGGCCCAAGACACGGCCTCCCAGGAAGTTCAGTCCCGGGACCGCCACAATGACAACAGAGAAAGGCCCCGCACTTCCGCCCTCAACCGGCTCGGAGGGGGGCAAGACCGCCGAGGGCTCCAAGAAAGCGGAGGGTCTGTCTCGAGGGCAGATGTAACACTTGAGATTTAATTTAAATGGATTAATAGTACTACTCATACCAATAAGGTGCATCTCCTTTTAAGGGAGCTCATTAGCCAAGAACTCCAAAGTTAAGCGTGCTTGCACGGGAGTAGTCTTGGGATGGGTGACCCCCTGGGAAGTTTTTCAGGGCGCGCACGAGTGAGGACAAAGTGCGCGGAAAAGGCTAGTGGCGGTTTGTGAGGACAGTACTAGAGGTCAGAAGTAACTACCTCGGGGCCTACGGGTCCGGGGTGTTACACCCTCGGCCGGAGGCCGATACCATGGAAGCCACACCCAGTAGGGCCGTAACGAACGCCAATGGCGCCCTCGGCTGGACATGCCGAGGACTCCCCTCACGCACCCGGTGAGCACTATCCTCAACTATGCGGAAGAGCAGGACCTTTTCCCCAAGGACCCTCGGTCGGCGAGGGAGATCTACGCCATCCACCAAGGCGACACTTATTGCCGTTACCACAAAAGCACCTCCCACAATACAGACGATTGTGTCTCGTTAAAGAAGGCTATTGAACTCTTAATTCAACGGGGTGAGCTCCACCAATTCATCAAAAATGCCCCAAGGAAAAACACCGGGGAGAACACCGATAAAGAAGAAGGGGACATTGCAACAAAGAAACATGAAATCGGGAGACTCAGTGACGGAGAGGAGTTCGAGGAGCCCCAGCCGAAGAAGCGCCACCTCCGCTAATCATGTTCCTCACCTTCGGCGTTAGTCTCATCCTTGGGCCCTCGACCTCGAGGCACATTACCATCCCCTCGGCCTAGAGCCCTCGGCCTTGAGCGGTGAATCTTAACAAAGCCGTTGTCAAACAACGCACCCCTTGTATTCCGCTTATTTCTATGAATTTAAGTAAACTACAACACAATCCAGACATCTTATCGGCCCCTTCGAGGCCAAATGCCCGGGTATGGCCGATGGTTTCTAAAGACGAGGGGCCTGCAAAAGGCCCGCGTTTTTGGAGCGGGACGCTCGCCGCGTCGCCGGCGCGCAACGCACGGTGACAGGCCTGAAAGAATGGCTGAGGTGACGAAATCCCCAAACTTGGGGGTGAAACGGCAGTCGTCGGAAACCGACCAAGCCTAGCCCGCGCCGTAAATAGACGACGGGACCCCCCAAGGTCAAGGGACGGTTCAGCGCCGGGGGACTAACAGACGAACCCCCAGACGGATCACTTGGACCCCCTTCCGGCCGAGGCGGGGAAGAAACCCCCTCGGCCGAAGCCTAGAAGAAGGAACACACATCAGGAGGACTAACATACGACCTCCTGGCACAATCAAGGGACGACCCAGCGCCGGGGGACTAACAAACGAACCCCCGGACGGATCACTTGGACCTCCTTTCGGCCGAGGCGGGGAATCAACCCCTCGGTCGATGCCTGAAAGAAGGAACATACACCCAGAGGACTCCTGGAACTGTCAAGGAAAGGCCCTCGGCCTCAATTCGATTCTACATCACCAATGTCCCTCGGCCTTGGCATGATTCCACGTCACCAACGGCCCTCGACATCAACGTGATCCCACATCACAACGGTCCTCGGCCTCAACATCAGACGGCCCTCGGTCTCAAAATCAACAACGGCCCTCGGCCTCAACATTAGGACGGCCCTCAGCCTCAACATCACCAAAAGCTCTCGGCCTCAACGTGATTCAACATCAACAACGGCCCTCGGCCTCAGCGTGATCCCACATCACAACGGCCCTCGGCCTCAACATCAGAACGGCCCTCGGCCTCAACATCAACAACGGCCCTCGGCCTCAGCGTGAGGACATCACAATGGCCCTCGGCCTCAACATCAGACGGCCCTCGGCCTCAACATGACTCTATGTCATAACGGTTTTGGCCTTAGCGTGATCTCACATCACCAACGGCCCTCGGCCTCAGCGTGATCCCACATCACAACGGCCCTCGGCCTCAACATCAGAACGGCCCTCAGTCTCAAAATCAACAACGGCCCTCCGCCTCAACATCAGGACGAACCTCGGCCTCAACATCACCAACGGCCCTCGACCTCAGCATGATTCCACATCACAGTGGCCCTCGGCCTCAACATCAGACGGCCCTCGGCCTCAACATGACTCTATGTCATAACGGTTTTGGCCTTAGCGTGATCTCACATCACCAATGGCCCTTGGCCTCAGCGTGATCCCACATCACAACGACCCTCAGCCTCAACATCAGAACGGCCCTCGGTCTCAAAATCAACAACGGCCCTCCGCCTCAACATCAGGACGACCCTCGGCCTCAACATCACCAACGGCCCTCGGCCTCAGCATGATTCCACATCACAGTGGCCCTCGGCCTCAACATCAGACGGCCCTCGGCCTCAACATCAACAACGTCCCTCGACCTCAGCATCAGAACGGCCCTCGGCCTCAACATCAACAACGACCCTCAGCCTCAGCGTGAGGACATCACAATGGCCCTCGGACTCAACATCAGACGGCCCTCGGCCTCAACATGACTCTATGTCATAACGGTCTTGGCCTTAGCGTGATCTCACATCACCAAAGGCCCCCGGTCTCAGCGTGATTCCACATCACAACGGCCCTCGGCCTTCATCCCTCCGACATCTTTATTTGATGTCGGGGGCTATCATACAGGCCCATCGGCCTTCATCCCTCCGACATTTTTATTTGATGTCGGGGGCAATCACACAGGTCCCTCGGCCTTCATCCCTCCGACATCTTTATTTGATGTTTGGGGCTATCATACAGGCCCATCGGCCTTCATCCCCCCGGCATCTTTATTTGATGTTGGGGGCAATCACACAGGTCCCTCGGCCTTCATCCCTCCGGCATCTTTATTTGATGCCAGAGGCTATCATACAGGCCCATCGGCCTTCATCCCTCCGATATCTTTATTTGATGTCGAGGGCCATCACACAGGCCATCGACCTTCAGCCCTCCGCCATCTTTATTTGATGTCGGGAGCTATCATACAGGCCCCTCGGCCTTCATCCCTCCGACATCTTTATTTGATGTCGGGGGCCATCATGAAGACCCCTCGGTCTCCATCCCTCTAGCATCTGTATTTGATGCCAGGGGCTCTAACACAAGCCCACCTGGCCTTGCACCCCTCCGTCACCTTTATTTGATAACGGGGGGGGGGGGGGGGGGGGTCCTTACAAGCTCCTTAGCTTTTTCATGCAGGATCTAAGGCTGATCTTGGATATCCCCTTACCAGACGGACACAACCGCCGCTCAACAATCAAGGCCGAAGGGTGCACTCCTTTTGCTTCATTATGAGGGCATCCGGTGTACTCTTTTTCCCTCATTAGGATTTTTTCCCACAGGGTTTTTTCCTAATGAGGTTTTTAACGAGGCATCTCCCCATTGTGGAGCAAAAGGCGTCACCCCTCGGCGGCTCCTGCTGAAGGCATGCATCACTCTACTCCTGTTTCCCTCGAGAAACTCTCGGCAAAAGGAGTGGGGGACTGGGGGACTCCCCTCGGCAAAACACGCAAATGTTAAAAATTTTCTATTTCTCAGCTACAACAGGCTGAGGCAAGATCACAATGGCAATCTACTCCCCTCGACATGATGCTTTCGGCTTACAGAATGCCTCCGGCCACACAATGCCTTCGGCCACATGATGCCTCCGGCCACACAATGCCTTCGGCCACATGATGCCTTCGGCCACATGATGCCTCCGGCCACATGATGCCTTCGGCCACATGATGCCTTCGGCCACATGATGCCTTCAGCCACACAAAGCCTTCAGTCAACAAATGCCCTCGGCAAAGCACACAAATGCAGATCTCTCATTACTTTACAAACTACAACAAAGAAACACATACGAGCAACACACTTACACTCCCTTCAGGAAGCTCTCAGCCCTCGACATATGGGGGATTTGAGAAAATGAGGCACCCAACAGGACAGGGTAGCCTTCGGGGAAATCACCACAGCTACTCCTTTTCCCTCAAGTACCTTTCGGCAAAAGGAGTGGGGGACTCCTGATGGAGTATATGGCCCAGGGACCCCCGACCCACATACTTCCTCTACTACAATCAGGCCCAACAGGCCCAAATGGGCCAAGCCCAGCAAAATGGAGCTCTGAGCAGCCCACAATAAGCAAAGGGGTGCCTTCGGCCCTATGGTCGAAGGCTACCAGTGACGGAATCGAGCTCAGAAACATCACAGGAGAACAAGGCTTGAAAACCAAGCCTTCGGCAACTGCAGCCCTCGGTAGGTAGGAGCCCTCGGTTAGAAGAGGCATCACAGGAGAACAAGGCTTGAAAACCAAGCCTTCGGCACCTGTAGCCCTCGGCAGGTAGGAGCCCTCGGTTAGAAGAGGCATCACAGGAGAACAAGGCTTGAAAACCAAGCCTTCGGCACCTGTAGCCCTCGGCAGGTAGGAGCCCTCGGTTAGAAGAGCCTTCGGCCCAGCACCCTTCAGCCTAAGGCATCCACCTCGACAGAATATCCTCTTCACATGCGCCTGGATCACCGTACCAAGTACAAACGTCACATCCAACCACCGCATTTAATGCGGCCACATGCGAGTGCCAGTGCCACCCCGGTCGAGGTGACCCCTCGACCACCAGAAAACTGACACGTGTCCTTATCTAGCATTTATTACTACTATAAATAGCACCCCTTTTCCCCATTGTAAACCACGCTCAATACATATCGAATATACACACTCTCTCTCTTACTTATTTGCTCTGACTTCTCTCTAAGTTATTCTCAGCAATAACCCCTCGGATATATACCCCCCGGGTAGACTATCCATCAGTGCACTTTCCGATAAATATAAAATTAATTCTTAAACGCTACATATATCTTCCTTACAAATAAAAAAGCCCCAAAATATATAAACTAAAAAATTGAATGAGGTATACAAAACTAAACAGAAGATATACGCAAATATAAAAAACAAAAAGAAAAAACCATCAAAAATAAAATAGAAGATATACTTAAACATAAATTAATGATGAAATGATCAAGTGTTTATATTTAAAAGGGTCTCCCAACGTGGCTTTGAATGAGAGAATAATGAAGATGTCCATGATTATTTTAATTGGCTAAGAAAATAAAAAAACATTTTGATAAATAAGTGCTAAACAACCGTAGAGAAATTAAAAAATGATAAAATGGTTGGTCATGAGAGATTATAGGAGATAGTTATGGAAACAATCGTAATGCATTAATTGTAAGGTGAAATCACCCTATTGCCCTCAACGAAAATATATTAAAAATTGCAATGAAGGCTTCATCTAACGGTTGTAATCTATTCTTTTTTGCTCTCCTAAGATTAAATTCTCACATGAACCTAAACCTATGTATATATATATGTATATATGTATATATATATGTATATATGTATATATATATGTATATATGTATATATGTATATATGTATATATCTATATATATGTATATATGTGTGTGTGTATATATATATATATATATATATATATATATATATTGTATTGCATATTGAATCACATACAAACTAGTTCTCTCATGCTAACCTACAAAGTGTGCATCTTTACATTATTTGTATTGCATATTGAAGTTAGGTTCAAAGTGTTGCATATTATTCAAGACATAAAAATAACAGTTTCATATATACATTATTTGTATTGCGTATTGAAGTTCATAGTGTGCATCTTTACATTATTTGTATTGCATATTGAAGTTCAAAGTGTTGCCTATTATTGAGTTTGTAGGTTAGTAAATTAAGCATGGTTTGTATTTGATCTGTAATGTGTGTGTGTGTGTGTGTGTATACATGTATATATACATATAAGATAGTTTACATTTCAAATTTTCTAGATTTACATTTTAATATACGCGAGTTACATCTTAATGTACACGAGTTACACCACTAAATAAACCCCTACTAATGATCAAAAAATGATTTTTTAACTATATCATTTTTATAGCCCTACTATTAAAAATAAAACATATTCACTACTTGCAAAAAGTAATTGAGCAATTAGGATCAATTTTTCATTGTTTACATTGAAATCAATGTTTTTTCTTATATTTCGTTTTAGACAACTTACATTTCAATTTGACTCAAGTTACATTTTCTATCAACGTGAGTTACATACATTTTGTTAAACGGGAAGTTACACCTCTGCTACTGAAACACACAAAAAAATCAATGTTCATTCACGTCACTGTTCATGCATATTTTACTTCCTTGGAACATGATCCTCATAGTGGGCTGGTAGGACGGTAGAACTCCTGTTGGTTTAACACTTTAATGGAATGAATAGTGTAAAATTCTGAATTCTCTTTTGTTACGGAGTATCATACTTCCAATTATTATCTTCTAAACTGAATTTATCTCCTAATGGGTTAGTCCATGTTTCGCTTTAGGCTCTAAATATTCTATTGGACCGCGTTATAAAGCCCTATATCAGTTGACGTCCTTTGCTTCTAAAACAAAAAAACAAAATAAGAAGAGAAGAGAAGAGGAACCGAGGAAGAAGAAGCAGTGGAAGAAAAGATGAATCTGAGCATCAGCTCTGCGGAATCGGTGTTGGCTCAAATCCAAGGCTTATCGAACAATGCCCAAGACCTCTCTCAACTTCACACCTTCCTGAAACAGTCCGATGATCTCCTCCGGTCCGAGTCGACCCGCTTGCCTCCTCTACTCGCCCAACTCAACCCTACTGAACACTCTTTGGGCTACCTTTATATCCTGTAAGCCCCTCTACGAATACAACAGCAACAGCTTAGTTATTTTCTGCCGTTGTCCCTGCTTCCCTCTTTTGATCGCAATTTACTGCTGAAAAATCACACTGTAGCTATATTTTCCACTCTTCCATCCATGCGAAGACTGAGGATGGAGATAGTTCGTATTTTTCATCTGTGAACTTTGAAATTCGTGCCTTTTATTTCCTTATTCTGAAAGTCTCCTTTTCATTCCTTATCAATGGGAGTATAAAAGAAGTAAATTGTTCACAACTTGGACACTTTCACTGTTTTGTAACTCATCTTTGAAATTTTCTGCGGTATGCTAATGCATTTCATTAAGTTAATTCTTGCTAAAACAATATTGACCTAGTTCAATACGAGCAATGTATTTGTACTGTGGTAGTCTTTTTGACTCATGATGTGTTTGTTATAAACAGGGATGCATCCATGTCTGCTCCAATTTCAACAGAACAAGCCCCTGAACTGGTTTCTTGTGTGGCTAGGTTTATTGATGAATGTGCTGCAGATCAAATCCTTCTGGCACCTGAGAAATGTACTTATAATCATTCCTTAGCATTTTTTTGTTACTCTCATTAGTATTGTTGTTATTTTTTACGGAGTACTTTTTGGTTCATTTTGCTTTATTTTTTATATTTTTCCAGTCGTATCTGTTTGTAAAAGATTCAAGGATCAAGTTCTGCTACTTAAAGCCCCTCTACAAGGTGTGGGTCCTATGCGGACAGCTATTCAGAAACTACAGCTTTCGACTGAGCAATTAACACCCTTGCATCCTGAATTTCTTCTTCTTTGTGTACTGGCGAAGTGTTATCGTATTGGGTTTTCTATTTTGGAGGATGACATATTTGAGGTCGATCAGCCAAAGGACTTTTTCCTATATTGCTACTATGGGTCAGCTGAGCAAATTACTGAAGTCTTGTGATCTTTCATCTCATCTCTTGTCTAGTTCTACCTTAGAACGATCAACAAATTTCCAACAGATCTACTATCTCATAGTTTTTTTTACAATTAATATGAATGTACCAACTTATTTATGCATGAAGCTCTATACATTAAGTACATAATATCTCCTCTTCCTCATTACATGTTTAGATATCATGCATATTTTAGTCAATCCACTTCAGTGCAAATAATATTTCACAAGTTTGGTTGATTGTGTTGGTGACATGTAGTGTTGTGAAATTTGTTGTGCGCTAGAGGGGCATCTAGCACGCCTAGAGCTCCTAAGCAGGCAGCTAAGATCAATGTGATGGCTCCTGCGCCGTTTTGTAGATCACTGGTTAGAATGTGGGAAGCATTTTATATTTTTCTACTTCGTTATCGGCACAATATATCATCTTAACAAAACAATGGTTTATGATGGTTTTCCAGGATAATTAATTAACTCATATTTTTGAATTCTAACCTACTCAAGTTTTTACGCTTGATTGGTGCACATCCCTTTTCAGTTATCTCTGTGATTACTTCTTTGGATGTTTAAATGACTATGCCTCTGCGGTGGATATATGCTAATTTAGCCTTTTCTTGTTGGGCATTATTGCAGGGGGATGATTTGTATTGGACAGAAAGAATTTCGGAAAGCCTTGGAGCTTTTCCATAATGTATGACTGCATTGTATACTTAAGTTTTGGTCAGGGAGAAAGAGAAATATGTCTTTTTCCCCTTTCTGGTAGTATAGTTGAAGTTAAAAGCAATTTGTTTTGTTTACCATCTTTTGCTATGCTTTTAGGTAGTAACATCACCAATGTCAACGTTAAATGCTATAGCAGTTGAGGCATACAAAAAATACATTCTAGTTTCACTGATCAAGATTGGGCAGGTCTGTTTCGCTACATGTTACACCATTCTTCAATTGCTAATGCTCTGTTCTTTAGTATCGGAAATCAATCTTCTTTTACTTGTGGTGGCAGTTCTCTACCAGCTTCCCCAAGTATACATCTTCTGTGGCTCAAAGGAATCTGAAGAACTACTGTCAGGTGTGTTATTAGGTAGCTGCATCTAATATCTGAAAACTCAACTGCAACGGCTGTACTTTTGAAGTTAAAACCTCTGGTGTATTTTTAGTAGCTAAGCTGCCACTTCTATTGTTTGTACTTCATATTGCAAGTGGTAGCTGATGTTGATTTATTCATTTTTTTAAAAAGTCATTAGTCATCATCTTTATTCTAACAAATGAGGAAATATGCTGCAAGTTTCATGACGAACCTTGTCTTCCTGTCTTTGAGCAGCCCTACTTGGATCTGGCAAACAGTTATAGCCTTGGAAAAATCTCTGAGCTTGAGACATGTGTACAGAAAAACAGAGACAAGTATGAAAATGTGAGTCTTCTGCTGTTGGCCAGTATATAATACTTCATTATTTATGAAAACTGGTGTGTTTTAAGTTTTAACATAATGCTAGTAATAATAATTACATAAAGAGAGAGTTCCCTATCTGATTATTTGCCACAAGAAACTGTTGTGTGAATTTAATTGGGTTTGATGCTTTTCGATTTACAGGACAATAATCTTGGATTGGTGCAGCAAGTTGTGGCATCTATATATAAACACAATATTCAAAGATTGACCCAAACTTATCTCACCCTTTCACTTCAAGATATTGCTAGTGCCGTCCAACTAAGGAGTCCCAAGGAGGCAGAAATGCATGTTCTTCAAATGGTAATAAACTGGTTTGCATACTTTTTTGTTTGGGATTTGGATTTTGTAGTTCTGTTGTATGCATGTAGATGACTTGAAAGGGGTTGGTCTTGTTTTATATTAGATTGAAGACGGTGAGATTTATGCAACTATCAATCAGAAAGACGGAATGGTTAGATTCCTAGAGGATCCTGAGCGATACAAAAGTTGTGAAATGATTGAACACATTGATTCATCAATTCAGAGGTGAGTGCATAATAATTTTGTTGATCTTTCCTCCATTTAATAATTGATACAACAAATGATTGTTTTTTTACTTATCCTCTGCCTGGTACAGAATGATGACGCTGTCAAAAAAGCTTACATCTATGGATGAACAGATGTCATGCGACCTTTCCTACCTTGCTAAGGTAGAAAGCAATCTACGTCTTGTTTGCTGCTCTCAGAATTATACCGATTCACTCTCAGGTTGATGGTTTTTTTAATACTTAGAGATTGCTTCCTGGTTACTTGTGTTTATTTCTTAGGTTGGCAGAGATAGACAAAGACTTGATTTTGATGATATGGAAGGTGGTATTCCTCATAAGTTCAACATATGAAGGACATTGAAGCACATGCCATTGAAGCAATGCCAGCCAGTTGTTAAGCTTAAAGCAGGAAAACTCACTACCAGACTGTCTCATCACCTTATAATTGAGACATGTAATGCACTGAACAAATCTATTGAGACAAGAATGCCAAAAGCATCTTCCTTCACCTTTTGCTTAACATTGGATTCATGTGCGACACATCACATCTTAGTAAATGGTATAAGCTTATTAAACCGTAAGGTTATATTGGTTCTTTTACATTATGAAGAGCACATTCATTACAATATTTTTATCGCAATTATTACGGTGTAGTATCTCATTCACTCATTGTATACTTTTTTTTGTTGACAACATAGTTAGTACTCCTTTTTGTTACAACTTTTCCATTTCAATCATAAACATATTTCATCCCCTATTGGCAAAAAAAAACAGGTTTTGAAAGATTATAATGAGAGGAGTTTAAAAATAAAATTCAGAAATTAAATTTCTAATACACCGGATGGATTTAAATCAACTGCAAAATAATGAGAGATGTTGAAAATACTTCAAAGCGATAAGTATAATATTAGAGAGACAAGTGTACTTTTTTGCGGGATTTGTTTCGACCACCTAGCTTCCCGGAAGTACCACCATGTATATGTTGTTGGGGTTTCGTGTATAAGAGGTGATAATGAGTACTTGGATTGCTTATGGATCGTGTAAATTCACTTTCCGAATTGATACTTCTCCCCTATGCTTGGGTTATAAGAAATTCAATTTAAGATTAGGGTTGGATTCGGTTCGGGCCACCCGGCCCGGTACTGTGCGGGCCCGGGACCGGCCCGGTCGGGCGGTCCGGGACCGGGTATGGATCCGAACCGGTGGGAATGAGCGGGGCGGGCTCGGTGCTGGATTAATGTGACCCGGCCGGGTCGGGCCCGGGCCCGGGTCCGGTCTTATTTTAATTTTTTGTTTTGTTTGGGCTCTTGGGCTACTAGCCGTTGGGGGTGGGGCTGGGGACAACCCAAACGGCTATATACCCGTTGGGTGGGGTAAAGGGGGGGTCCGGGGGGTTGGCTGGTGGGGGGTGGGGGGTGGGGGGTAAAAAAACCTATAAATACTCCTAATCTTAAACATTTTTTCATATCTCTTCTCCAATTCTTCCTAAATCCTATTCTTAACTCTCTACTCTCTAATTCTCTTATTCTCCAATATATTATATTTATTATTTATATATCTACTTTATAGTTTATACTTAAGAAGTTAAGATGGAAAATCAAGATGCCATTATACGGTATAATTTTGATAAGCAGAAGGACCCGAAGACCGGGATGTGGTACGCAATTTGCAAATGGTGCGAGAAAAAATGTAGCATGAGGGTTTCAGGCGGATTCGGGATGGCAATCAAGCATATGAAGTCATGTGACAAAGCCAAAGGATCGGGAGGTGCGGGAAGTTCCGATTGATTACAATTTTCAAAATGTTTATCTCTTAAAGTTTGTTTTAATTTTCAAATGTAGTTCCTATTTCATTTCAAATAAATGCAATTGAAGTTTGTTTTTAATACTCGTATAAAACTATAAACTATAAAATATAAATTATATAAAAAAAAAATTTAACCCGCCCGGCCCGAACCGGACCCGACCCGTGACCCGGGCGGGTGGCCCGGCCCGAACCGGACCCGTCCAACCCTCGGGCCGGTCCCGGGCCCATGTCATACAACCCGGCGGCCCGACCAGGCCTAGGCCCGGCCCGAGTCCATCACTGTTTAAGATCATCCTTAAGGACACTCAAGAACTTAGCCACAAGATCTAGAGCACAAACTAGTGAGTATATGAATTGTTTTCTTAATTTGAATGCCAAAACTCAAAAGTGATTAAGATATGTTGTATATCTTGTCTCTATCTTCTCTGTACGAAATATGGTGATATATGTCCATATTAACTGTTCCAGGCAGTTACAACACGTTGAGAATAATCGTGGTAGTTTTTGGAAAACTGCACGAAATTGCTCAACGGCTCTAGACCTCGGTCTAGAACCATAAAGTTGGTCTACTGAGTGTTCTGCCTCGAGTTCCACTGCCGTAGACACTTTGGAATAAAACTCGTTCTTATATACAAGTGTGCACTCCACATCTATTAACTTGTATTACATCATAGTTCTAATCCTCATTGGCACTCATGTCATTTCAATCACACAAAACGGCCCATGTCACTAAAATCACCAACAATCATCCCCCATTTTAGTGTAACCCATGAAATGACATAACAAAGTTTTCAAACCAAAACTTGTACATAAATGAAAATGTCGATACGATTGAATTTTCATATTAGTATTTTACACATTCCAAATATTCGAGAATCGGGATGTCCTAGGGATTGAACCCGTCAACCCATTTGAATATCTGAAGATAAAATACATACAAGTTTCTATACTCAATTGGAATACAAACTTGACACAATTATAAAGTTGTGTGTCCTAATCCCATTCATGACCGTATAAAAGCTAAGTCCTAAGCTTTTGAAGCGTGGCTACACTTCACGATCATATAGGTAATTCCTTTATTCATGTACATGCTTACATTTTATCAAAGGAATTATTAAGAAATAAATTCAACCTCCCTACTACAGGTCCGGACACACACCTTGGGATGATTTTCATTGTGTGTTCCAATCCATAAGTGTGAGTTTTCTGCATTGCATTCAGCCTCTAACGTTGTATTAGAGGGGAATTGAGTATCTCACCATTAAGGATTTAAATGGACTTTAATCTCATCCCTATTACGGACATGTGCACTAAGTCCCGGGTCAAGCTTTTGGTCAAGTGGTCCGCCAAGTTATGTTGTGATTTTACAAACTCCACCAAAATTACACCATTCATGATTAACTCTCTAATCATACTATGTCTAACACCCAAGTGTCTAGACTTACCATTATAAACATGACTACATGCCTTAGCCAAAGTGACAACACTATCACAATGGATAGAAATAGGTGCAATTGGTTTCCCCCATAATGGAATCCCAAAAATTAAATTTCTTAACCATGCCACCTCTTTACCGGCGGTAGGCAACACAACAAACCCAGATTCCATTGTTGAACTTGTGATACAAGTTTGCTTCTTAGATGCCCAAGAAATGGCACCCCCAATTCAAGCAAGAATACCCAACCACTTGTAGACACTTTGGAATAAAACTCGTTCTTATATACAAGTGTGCACTCAACACCTACTAACTTGTATTACACCAAACGGTCGGTGACACTAAAATCACCAACATGTGTGAATGTGTAATAGTGAGGGTAGCGGCGCGCCATGCCCCAATGACGATAGTAACATGTTGTGACACCCCCAAATTTTCCACCCAAAATAATACTTTGAAATAGAGATGAACTTTTATTTAATGATTAAAACTTCAAAAGTTGCAGCGAAAATTAATAAAAACTAAGTAAAAGGGGCATGTCACCGCCACATCCAATCCGTGAATGATTGGATGCTAAGGTTATCTACCAAAACACGAGTTTAACAAAAGCAAGATGTTCGAATCATAAGTAAATATTAAAGTTTATTTCTAGTGAACTACATAGTTGTCTTCTAATTCGCGCTCTCAAACATTGCAGCATCAAAATCAACATGATCACCTCCTGTTAAATACGAGCACAAGAAAAATAAAAGAAAACAAACATTAGCAATAATGCTAAGTAAGTTCCACCTAACCTTTTAAAATAATAATAAATACTATATATAAATTCGTACAACCTCATAAAATATTTTTCGAAACACTTTATAAATCATAAATCATAAGTAAACGATATCTATATAAAATCCCAATCACATAATTAACTCGTAAACCATAATAATTCCAAAATACATGAAACACCAAAATTCACCTCTTTTGAATTTCTCCCAAAATCACTTTGTACCTAACTTTCTAGTAATTTAGAAGGGCGGTGCTCAACACTTTGGTTGAGCCCGGTGGTCCGTCGTTATGTACGGCCACCCCGGAACTATCGCCGGTACCACAACTGCTCCTTGGAAACGGAAACAACTACTTTAAGTGTGCACACCCCCTAAAGGTATTCCAAGCCCTCCGGGGTAGTAAGTCGATCCGGGTAGCCGGGATGTTTTCTACCAACTACCCCACCTCAAAACCTGAATGATTAGGAGCTACTACTACCACTACTACTCAAAAAGCCGGGATGTTTTCTACCGACCGACAATTCACCTCATACCAACACAAACCAAAAATTGAGTAGTAGTAGACCTAACCATCCTCCACATTTTAAGGGACGTGGAAAACCAACACCACGGATTTCTCTCGTGATGCTCACCCTTTATGAAAATATTTATTTCTCTTTCAAAAATTTCCTTTTTCATTAAACTCCCACAGAGATAACAAATTACTTACTATTACAAAATCTTCCAAAATAACTCATATCAACAAACTAATTTCTCAAATACAATCCTTTTATATAATAATATTCAAATTCAGCACACATAAATTCAATTCTCAAATAAGCACACAAAAATATTTAAAAGAAATCACGTAGAAAAAGAACTAATTTCGGTTGACGTGAAACTTACCTTAAATCCAAATGCTCCTACTTCTCTTCTTCAATTCCAGTCTCTAAATGAGCACCTTTTTAATTAGGATGATATAATTAGTCACTTATTCTATTTCAATAATTTATCCAATTTTCCTTTTTTTTTATTCGAACTTATTAATATAACTAATTATTTAAAATTTTCCAATAATTACTAATCAATCACTTTTATTAGTTTCCACTTTATTTTAATCCAAAATTCATCCGTTTTCATTAATTAAGTGAATCCATTACTTTTTCTAAAGTAAATAAAATAAATCTAGCAAATCCAACTTCCACGTACGTTGTTAATCGCCCTAGTCCAAACATTAAAAGAAACTCAGCCCAATCTTACTCTATACAAAACGAAGTGGAAATGCAGCAACTTTTCCCGCCCAAAGTTTCGGGTCAAAAATGGGTCAAAAGTGGGCAATTCGCTTCTGTGGTCTGGGGTCCACTTCGGTGTGACATTTCGTACCATTAAGGTCATTCCAAATGCAGAGGGTGGTTCTCAAGCATTAATGAATTAGGTGGCATTAAATGGGGTGGTTGAGAGGGGCGAGATCTATTGCACTTTGGGTAATTCAGTTTCATTGCAAACCCTAAAAATTCGAATTCCCTATAAATACCAACATGGTTCAGTTCAAAATTACAAACCACAATGGCATCTAGCAAAGAAAACTCCGAACCACATGGTAGTCAATTGTATTCAATGATTAGGGAAGTTAACCACACCAGAACAAACTGGGCTCTAAAAGTAAGGGTGGTGAGAGCATATGAGGTTTCACCTCAATCCAAAGGAGGTGCAAGAATGGAATTTGTTTTCCACGATGAGAACGTAATTTCTATTTCGAAAGCGTTTAATTTATTTTTAAAATCCTTTTGTGGTTGATTATTCGAGTGATCATCTTCCTAATTCATTTTGCTTTCATTTTGCAGGGTGACCGCATTCATGCTGTTGTGAAAAGGCCATTCATGCATTTGTATGAAAACAAACTGCAGGAAAACAAGTGTTTCAGAATCAAGAACTTCTTAGTTTTTGATAACTACTTCAACTACAAAACTACTGAACACCCTTATGTTTTAGAATTTTTCAAAAAAACAATGGTCTATGATTTGCACTCAGCAACTTTTCCAAACTTAGTGTTCAATTTCCATCAATTTGACGCGCTGCAGAGTCTAAGAGTCATCAACGACAAATTGCTTATCGGTGATTTCATTTACATATCCTTAAACGCTTTTTTATAATCACACCGTTTAATAACAGTTTTTCTTCAGATGTAATTGGTAAGTACGTCGGGAAGACTCCAGTACAAACACCAATCGTTAATGGGAAACCAGAAAAGCTGATTGAACTAACTTTGGAAGATCCAGAGTACTGTCTTAATTTTGTCTATGATATGGTATTTGTTTATCATAAAAATCGAGAGTTTATGATGAAACTCTTTTTTATTTGTAGTGGAAATCGTATTGGATGCACATTGTGGAACAACTACTGCAAACAGTTCACTGATTTTTATGATGCTCATAAAAATGAAGCCATCTACATCATACTACAAATGGGTAGACCCAGACGCTATCAAGGTAAGGACTAATTCAAAAAAAACTTAAGTTTTTTATTTTGGCTTCAAATGGGCTGATGAAAGATTTCAAACATATTCAGGTCATGTCTTGGTGGGAACATCTTATGATGTTTCGAAGTTGTTAATAAATGGTTCTAGCCCGGAGTTTGAAGATTTGAAATCGCAGTTTGGACCAGATGACGACAATACAACAATGACTACCTTCACTGCAAATTCAGTTGGTCAGGGTAGTGAGGACGTTTTAGGGGAAAGGCTACTATGACAAACATCAGTGATTTGCTAAAGGACCCAGAGGTAAAAAGTTGATTAATCAAAGAAACTGTATAAAAAAATGATCACCTTTTGTTACTCACAGCTTCTGTACACAGGATGGAACCTATTGGCTACTTGGTGATATTGTATCACTAGACAACTATAAGGAATGGTGCTACCTGAGCTGCCCAACATGCAACAAGAAAATAAAGCCAGAAGATGAAAGGTTCAGATGCATCACATGTGACACGACTATTCCCGAGGGAGTGTTGAGGTTGTGTTATTGGTTAAGATGTATCACTTTCCACTACTTTAAAATAAGACTAACTTCAAACATTAATCTGCCAACTTCCGGTATGCAGGTACAAAGTTTCAGTTTGTGTCATGGATGACTCAGGTCACGCTACGTTCACCTTATGGGATAGGGAATGTATAGATATTGTGGGGAAAACTGCAGCAATATTAAGAATGGAAGTTGAAAAGGTTGATTCAAAAAAATACTTTTTACACTAGCAATTCTGAAAAGGGAAGATAATTCATTAAGTTTTTTATTTTTAGAAAACGGGTGATCCTACCCACTTCCCTGAGGACATTGAGGCTTTGATTGATCAAAGAGCAATCTTCAAAATTCAAATAAAAGCAAGAGACGAAAGTTCTTCTTACAAAGGTCCAGTTTCATATGGGATACTTGCAATGATAAGAGACAAATCTATCTTGGACCTCTATACCAAAAATGAAACCCATGCACTTGAAATGGATGAAAACACAGATGTTGAGAAGGTAAATGTTTTGAAATGTTTGATTTGGTGTGGACAGCATAAAAAACATTTGTTATATGTGCAGAGCGGATCAACAGGAAACGAGATAGAAGATGGTACTGCTAGCAGTAAATCAAAACAGAAGGTCTGGATAAGCTTTCCTATTAACTAATTTCGTTGTATCATATGATACTAATTTATTTGGTATGCAGACTGTTGTAATTGAAGATGACGATTTCGTGTCACCTACACAAGTTGAAAACCAAGATGACAGGAGGGCGGCTGAAAAGGTAGATGATGTTATCAAATTCTTTTTTGATAGAGTGGAATTTGTTTAACAAGGCAATAAAAACAAATTGTTTCTGGACAGGGTAAGGAAGTGAATTGCCTAGAAACTCCAACAACTATTCGGACAGTAGGTGGTATTGAAGGGAACGATCAACTTAAGAGAAATCTGAATGATCAGTTTTCGGCGAATGTTAACATCAAACGGAGAAGTATCCGCGTCAAACAAGAGAAGGAATAATGTGAAGATAGACCAGCAGGCTCAGCTACATTTTACTTGAAAAAGGAGTGTGGATTGATGATTTTTTGAATATTTTGTTTGGGCACTTACATATTTATTTAGAACTGTGCCTTACTTTTTTGCTAAACTACGAGCTGGGTCTGTAGTAATGAACTCTGTTTTGCATTGTTCAAGTTGTAGGCATGAACAATTATCAACTATGTTAGACTTATATTTCAGATCAAAACAAATTTTTCTATGTTAGATTTTGCAATGTCAACTTTTCAAGGTTAAAGGACTCCTACGGATGCATCAGCATAAGGAAGAAGGGCACCTACGAAACGGAAAGGAGACCAGGAGACCATGATCTGGAGGAATGAAGACAAAAGAGAGTAGACCAGGGGGGCTTGATTCATATAGAAATTCTTGGCAATAACACTTATTTCTTATTCATGAGAGTTGTCATTGTTTTGATTATAAAGAAAACCCAATTAAGTTATGATATTAAATGTGGTTTTGTGTTACCTAAAGTTCAAGTATTTTCAAAAAATACTATATAGCACAATTGTTTAAACAACAAACCTACAAAAAAAAAGATTATCTGATGAAAAAATGTGTTTGTTGGCTAAGTTTAACCGAACGGTGATAAACGAAGTGGGAGGTAGTGTAATTTATAAGGATTAAAAAATAAGTTTCAGATTAAAAAAGATTAATTTAATCTAAATTTGAATAATATTTCGAAAAATGTTCAATATAAACAAAAATGTTAGTTCAAATTTATGTTAATACAGATTAAAAGAAGATTTATCAAACTTAAACTTAATTCGAAATAAATATTTCGAAAATGTGTTCACTAACAAACATGTCATCTGATAAATGTAATGAAAATTTACCAACAAAAATGTTAGTACAAAAGTGTTGGTGTGGAAAGAATCCTACGACTTAGATTGTAATGTTACAATTCATCTTTTCGACTATATTGGCTACAGACCTACAAACAAGGAAACGGTAACACCATTGCAACTTTGTAATTCAAACCAAAACTTTTGCCGTGAAATATGAAGATTTTGGCTAAACATAGAAATAGAATACAAAAAATTAACTATTGTTGAAGTTAATTAAAAAGGTTCCTGCTCTCTAAATTGTTGACTACATTTAAAATCATACATCATACAATTTATATATTGACAAAGGCTGATATTAATAAAGGAAGATAGACATACCTGGTGTTTGGTGTGGCTATGAACCTGCATTCCTAGAGGTCTAAACTATTTAATTATTACATATGAGGCACCTTATTAAAGGCCCTAAACCTATGAATTACATTCATTAAACTAAAAGAAAAAATAATTACATAATTCACTTAAGTTCCTGAACGCACCTGAAATGTAAATAAAAACACCAAGTCAGAGGAAGATCTACTTTATTCTTTACTTAATGTATTATGTACTTTTAAGCAAATAATTAATAAGCTTTTGTTTATAATAAATAAAACACAATCCTCAAGTTGAATCAAATCTAGATTTTTAAAAATGTCTATGACAAAATCTATAACTTTAGGTAAATGCTGGTATGGGTTTTAAATAAAGTTTAAGATGAAAATAGATTGATCAAACTTAATTTAAATCGGTACTTCATTTAAGTGGATTGTAAAAAGCATTGGGGGGAAATTCTTTGGATGATTTAATAATAATAATAAATCTATAAATAGGTGGGTATAGAAATCTGCAATCCTAAAACCAATGAATTACATTCATCAAAGTAAATTACAAAAAAAATACAAGTTTGATGTTTCTGAATGCACCTCAAATAAAAACAAAAACAGTAAGTTAGAGCATGTTTGTGAGGTGATCTCGATACAGTAAGTGAACATGTTTAACCAAGTCAAAACTCTACTTCATAAGCAACTAATTTGAAAACCTATGTTAATAATATATAATTTGTAATGTGTGCTCAAAACATGCTTAATTTCTCAACGGTATGAGAAATCATAACTTCATACTAACAGTTTAAAAAAAGGATAACTATATGTGGGGTATGTAATATATTATACATATAATAAGATGTCAATTAAATTTTATATCAGTATTACAAAAGAAATAATATACCATATAGTTAATATATATTAGTTAATATACGTATTTCGGGCATGATAGGTAATAATACCAGGGTGAGAGTAAACATGACTGTTGACATGATAGGTAATAATACCATTTCAAAATAGGATATATATTAGTTAAGATACGTATTTCGAGCACATTAGATTTTGGCCCGTCAATGTTATAAAAGAAATACAAATTTTAGTACACTTATATAACACGCAGGCCGTAAATTATTCAAAATATATAAATATCGTAAGAATTATAGATTTAGAGTCTAAGCTGTGTTTATCATTTTTGTAAATAGAGAAAAGTATTTGGTTTAAAGAAAACTGTACATATGTGGGTTTGCCCGAGGTCGCATTTAATGAATAGTACAGCTAGGAAAAGAAATTTCGAAAAGTGCTGTAAAGAACTCACAGTTATAACCATATCCGGAGAGAGTAGCTGAAAGTAGCGTCTTCCCAAGGTCGTCATAAATAATAATCCAAGGTCACAATCATAATAAATGTTTGACAGAAAGGGCTACTTACCAACGGTATTTGACTATCTTGACATTGTAGAAGAATAAATAGTCTTTAATGCCTCAACCACTACCTCATTTATGAAAACAGACCAAACCTTCGAAGTAGGAGGCAACACAAGGAGTGAAGTTCATATATTACACATATTGAATCCTAATAAACACAGTAAGTCTATTATCATATTTACTATCTGCATTACGTATATGAATGTGTCATGTGAATACCATGTAATTAAATAGATAAATGACATATCAAAACAAATTAGATGTTATGCATTACTTATATGAATGTATTATGCGAATACCATGAACCATATGACCAAATTTTAATGGGTGTATATTTTAATAACCTATGTTTCATTCTAGCTATTCAAGATGAGTGAATGTTCATGTCAAGTAGTTTCAACTGGGGGGTGCTATACGTGTGGAAAAAAGTGTGTTGGCATTTTACTGGATGCATGCTCATGGTGTGATTCAAACTATAGTCATTATTTCTGCATGAGGCAAATAAAGAAGAACAGAAAGTACATGGAATACTTATGCAAAGATTGTTCAGCATGGGTAGATGCACCAACTATGATACCAAGGAAATCAGATCGGATAATACAACTAAACAGAAAGTACTTTAATGCAGATATGGTGGTAGGTATGTCATGGGAGTGGATGAGTAGAAATGCATAAGTGATGGTCATGTGTAACATGAATGTTTTGTAACATGCATGAGATATGCATTGATGGTTAGGTGTGGATGTGAATCATAAGTGCTGTGTTCAATGAATGGCAGTTTGAATGAAAAATGACAATGATGAACATTATATGTATTATTCGCATGCCGTAATATAACAGTTTATGTTCTGAAGTTATGTAGTGTATGATAACATAGGTGATGTGTACAATGAAGTGTTAATTTAGCAATACCAAATATTTTTATAATGCCGATGCCACAAATAGAACTGCTACAATGCATAAAATGCATCTATGTGATAAATCCAGGTAATGTAAGAGTACCAATCCTAAATATGAGGAGGCTCACAAAGTCCACAGTAATCAACCGTAAAAGAGAAAACGAGGATCTACCTAACAAAGGTATGACAAAAAGACTAATTTTTAAGTTTAATCTCAAATAATTTAATAGAGTAAGGCATTTTTAATACGTCTTAGTATAGTCATATACAAAAACAACTATTTCCAGCAGATACTTAGAAAGGCCGATTTGTAAAAACAGGTCCATTTAAGATAGGTCATAGGCAATGAGCTGCCAGACCACGCAGATCCGAAGGCCAAACATGGCTGGCAGGGAATCTGGCTAGCTCATATTGAAGGCCTAAACTCCAGTTCTATAGTGTAGACTTGAACAAGGATTACGTTGGGTAGAGGGAAGTGAAACAATTATGCATTTCAAGAGATATAACAATAACACTTGCATATATGTATATAGATAAAGGCTTTTAAGACATATACGCATCACAACTGCATAGATCTACAGATCTAAATGCAACAAATGGTATATGTCTATTGCAAACGTGTTCGTACGCAATATATGAAATATAATTCATAACACATGCATAGATCTATATACATAATTAAAGACCATTAAGACATATCCGCATCACAACGGCGTGGATCTACGAATCTAAACGCAACAAATGGTATATGTCTTTCACAGCGTGTTGGAAGTTAGAGATTTATAAATTTAAATAGATCTATATACATCTGGGCAAGGCGTTATAAATATAAACTGGAAATTAACCCAAAAATAGATCTAAGGCTATTAAGAGGTAAACGCATCACAACTGCGTAGATCCTTAGATCTAAACGCAACAAATGGTTTACATCTTATGCAAGCGCGTTCGAAGCCATAAATTATTAGATCTAATGCTATATGATTGCTATAATAGCATAAACGAACCACAGATTCGGAGATCTTGATAGATCTATTCAAAGGTTCGTAATATTGTAGCAATTACGTAGATGTACAAAAATCCATCTTTTACCAATGTTTTTAAAACACAAAAACGATGCAGAAAAATCCATATTTTACAAATGTTTTGAAATCGAAAAGAAAACCAGGAACTCAGAGTTCAGTAGTTATACTTCCTCACATGTGTAAGAACACACCGATCATCGGATAACATTGAAAAGTAGGAGAATCATTACAGAAATACAAAAACTATGCCTAATTTAACAAAAATAATCATACCGTTCATTGAACCGAAAAAGGACTACAATCCTTCAATTCGTTAACGTGTTCACGAACACATCCAAAATGGTTGTCAATGAACACCAGAATATGATAGATGTACATAGAGTGGTCTGGAATTATCCGAACAGAGAGGTATAGACTTTTGAAGAAACATAGAGTAAGGTGATACAGAAAGCATACAAAAAAATTAGAAGAAGAGAGATGAAGAGCGGCCGTTTAACCGAAGGGTTTTAAAGTGGTCTGTAATAATCCATACTCTAGGGGAGGGGGTTATATATTGCTAGGGTTTGGGCTGAAGAACCGAAGGCTTTTAAAGTGGGCTGGAATAATCCGGACTGCGTAAATCTAAATGGACTGGACGGATATTAATGGGCTGTACAGATTAAATGGATTTAATGGGCTGATGTAATTGGGGTAGATTGGCAATACTAAATGCAATACTTCCTCCTTTCCATTAAAGTTGCAACATTGGAATTTTTGCCCTATTCACACACCTTACTTTGACTAAATTTTATGTAAAAAAATATTAATAAATTTGTATTAATGTAAATTTCCAATATATTAACTTTTTTTATGTTTACTAATACGTAAATTAATATAATTGCAATCACAGTTGCGCGTTGGCAACCGTGAAAGTAAAACTGTTTCAACTTTTATCGAACGAAGGATAGTATATAACAAGCACGAAGCACAAATTCAGAAATTCCAGTTTTGAACATGCTTTTCAAATAAAAACTGAAAAAAACCCCAAAAATATTCTATGAAACGGTTCTAAAGTTATTAAGACATACACGCATCACAACTGCATAGACCCTTAGATCTAAAAGCAACAAATGTAGTACATCTTATGCAAACGATTTATAGATCCAAATAGATCTAAACGCAGAAAAATGATCTAGGGTTACTATAATAACATGCACGAACCACGGATTCCGAGATCTACATACATCTATTAAAAAATCCATATCTGAGCAATTATTTTTAAAAATAACAACAAAAAGGAGAACAATTCGGAAATATTTTTTACTCCTATTCAAAACATGATACTCCTATTTTTGTATTTTGCCTATGTTTTGCTCCTATTTGGGGAACTCACTCAAAAAAATTCATCGAATTAATAAAAATAATTGTAAATATAATTTTTCGGCCAATTAACAAAATTTCAGTTAGCCAGTCCAGCCACTTCAATCAGAATTTCACAAATTTCATTCTAAGTAGCTTATTCATTCAATGTTTTTAAACGTGCTATAAAAAATTACGAGATCTTAATTTTAGAACATACATCTACTTAAAAAAGTTTGTAGCCTAAAAAACATCTACCCATGGTATCTTCAAAATTATTTTAATTTTTATATATCTAATATTGGTGTCATATGAAAGATAATAAAATGAGATTGAGGGCACAAAAGTTTTGCTTATATTGTGTAAATAAGATTCAAAATTGTTATTCCAAACATAAAATGAGTTCCTAAAAATAATAATAGTAATTGAGGGCATACAAATAGTCTATTGTATTGGAATCATGTAGTAGAGATAGTTTATTGTATTGGAATCATGTTATAGAAATAGTTTATTGTATTGGAATCATGTAATCGAGGGCATGTTTATATTTAATTGACTTTGTCACAGAAAATGTTGACTGTAATGTTCAGAAACGTTCCTTGCACCATCACAGTGGATCATCCGATGCTTTCGTTGATAGAACGAATGGTAATTCTTACTTTTTACTATTTATATTAGCCCATAAATATTTTATGATATTGATTATGTACTATTTGTATCACTTCTACAGTATTGCATTTGCCATTTAATTGTTCTTCGAGTGTGAGGACAACGAATATCAATATCAATAATGTAGACCAATGCCCAGATGTGCGTCTCCTTGACAACCGGCATAAGTGCGACGAAGTATCAACACATATACAGAATGATCTTCCATCAGAACCACAACAAGTTGAAGGTGCGATTGTTATTACTATTATTTTAAAATTCTGGGTTTTTATTTATTAGTGATGTAGTCAAATTTATATACAAAACTTTGTAATCTATTATTTTTAATGAAAATATTTAAAATATAATATGTAATATCAAATAACCAAGTTTCATACGAGTTTAAAATTTATTATGTAATATCAAATAACCATTTTAATTATTAATATGGACCTTTTTTACTTGAATCCACACTAAGATTGTTTCATAATTTCTCTTTCTAGACACACTAAGTGCTGAATATTGTGATATTGGGGACCCATCACATAATTGTGCCCACTGTGGAGCACTTTTCTGGTTTGATGAGAGGACACTTCGAAATTCTACAAAAACCAACCCCAACTACTCTATTTGTTGCGCGCAAGGAAAAATAGTATTGCCGAAATTGAAGGACCCCCCACCTGAATTATATGATTTGATTAACGGGACAGATCCCAGGAGTAAACACTTCCAACATAATATCAGATCATATAATAGTATGTTTTCGTTCACATCGATGGGTGGTAGGATAGATAATTCAGTTAACAGGGGTGGGGGACCACCAACTTTTAAACTTGGTGGTCAGAATTATCATCTAATAGGGTCCCTGTTGCCACAAGAAGGAAGTGTCCCAAAGTTTGCCCAACTATATATATATGACACACAAAACGAGGATCTTAACCGTTTGAGTTCTGTCAGAGACGATGCCAAAAAGAACAATTTGCACGAAGAAATTGTGTCCACTTTAAGAGGAATGCTTGATGAACATAATGTTTTGGTGAAGTCATTTAGAATGGTTAGAGACAAGATTGTTCAAGGTGGCGAAGCAAAAGTGAGCTTGAAGTTGATAGGTAGGAGAAACAAAGATGCTAGAACTTATAATCTACCTACGGTTTCAGAGGTAGCAGCTTTGGTTGTAGGTGATTTTGATGAATCACTTGGTGAAAGAGATATAATGGTTGAAACACAGGGAGGGCTTTTGAAGCGTATAAATGAATTGAATCCTGCATATTTGGGGTTGCAATATCCACTTCTCTTTCCCTTTGGTGAAGATGGTTATAGGGAGGATATTAACTTTTGTGATGGCAATAGTTATTCTACAAAGGGTCGTCGAAGTGTTAGCATTAGGGAATTTTTGGCATATAGACTGCATGAGCGGAGCACGGAATGCACTTTCATCCTCCAAAGTAGAAGATTGTTCCAACAATTTGTCGTTGATGGATATACAATGGTTGAGTCTTCAAGACTAATGTACATCAGAACACATCAAAAACAATTGAGGTGTGAAATGTACAAAGGGCTTTCTGATGCTTTGCTTAATGGCGAGAGAGATGCTTCTACCCAAGGAAAGAGAGTTGTCTTACCACCTACATTTGTTGGAGGAGCACGTTACATGGTTCAAAATTATCAAGATTCGATGGCAATATGTCGTTGGGCTGGGTATCCGGATCTTTTCTTGACGTTCACATGCAATCCAAAGTGGCCAGAAATTGTAAGATTTCTCAAAGAGAGAAACTTGAGTCCTGAAGACAGACCAGATATAGTATCTCGAGTTTTCAAGATGAAGTTGGATGGATTGATTAAAGATCTACGTCGAAATAAGATATTTGGTGAAGTTAGAGCAGGTATATCACAGGTCACAACATTATCCTATTTAATTCAATGTCATCATTGTATAGTAAATTTATAGTGATGCGTGTGTATTTTTATGTGCAGTGATATACACGGTGGAATTTCAAAAGCGTGGCCTTCCCCACGCTCATATTTTGTTATTCATGGGAAGTGCAAACAAGTTTCCCACTCCGGCGGACATTGATAGCATCATTTCTGCAGAAATACCTGATGAGTCAAATGATCCTGAATATTTCAATGCAGTACGCACACATATGATGCATGGGCCGTGTGGAAATGAAGCAAAAAGTGCTCCATGCATGGTACAATCTAAGTGTTCAAAGCACTTCCCCAAGAATTTCAATGAACAGACAACCCTTGACGATGAAGGTTATCCAAGGTATAGAAGGCGCAATGATGGAAGAAGTGTTGTGAAAGGTGTAACACAACTTGACAACAGATATGTTGTTCCCCATAACAGGTATTTACTCTTGAAGTACGGGGCTCATCTTAATGTTGAGTGGTGTAATCAGGGCCGGTCAATCAAATATTTATTCAAATACGTCAACAAAGGACATGATCGTGTGACAGCTGGATTTTATGAAACTTCAAATGCAGATGACAATGAGAAACCTGTGGATGAAATAAAACTATACTATGATTGTAGGTATATTTCTCCATGTGAAGCAATGTGGAGAATACTTGGGTTCGAGATTCAGTATAAGAATCCATCTGTTGAACGATTGAGCTTTCACTTTCCAGACGAGCAATATGTTTACTTTGAAGATAATGCATCAGTAACTGATGTTGTGTTACGTGAATCTGTAAAGGAGAGTATGTTTTTGGCATGGATGAGGGCGAATCAGCAGTACCCAAAAGAGGCAGCGGATTTAACTTATGCTGAATTTCCTCAAAAGTTTGTTTGGAAGGCTGCAACAAGAGAATTTGTACCTCGCAAAAAGGGTTTTGCTATAGGTCGACTAACTTATGTCCCTCCAGGTTCAGGAGAATCTTATTATTTACGTTGTGTCCTAAATTTGAAGCGTGGGCCTATATCGTACGATGATCTAAGAACTGTGGATGG